AGCGGCACTTAAACAACTTTAAAATTGTTGATAATTCTAAAAATATTGCACACAAATTTACTAAAGGCATAAAAACCTTAACCGGAAGATAAAAACAACATAATTCAATCATTTTTAAAGCAAAAAATGTACAATTTACAAAAATTTAAGAGTAAAGAAACTGAGATCACTGAGCCGGGTAACAGTGTAGATATATATATAAATATATTTATATACGTTTGGTGCGGCCGATTGCAACCAAAATATGAGGTGCACATCTAAATGTTATAGCAGTCCTATATACAAAATTTCAACGTTCTAAGGCTACTCGTTTTTGAGTTATGCGAGATAGGTACGTACGTCTCGCATAACGTACGTACATATGTTCTGTACGTACGTATATACTGTACTGTTCTGTCCGTACGTACGTACATACTTTCTTACAGACGCCACGAAAAATTCTCTTCAGAATTCATTTTAAAGCAGTTTCTTTCTTTTTTTTTTTTTTTTTTTTTTTTGAGGAAAAGAGTCTTTATTCTGTCCTTACCTACAGATGTCACAGAAAAACATCGTTAAATTGCATTCTATAGCGTCAAAACGGATATTTTCGTTGAAATATGCTGCCTGAAACTTTTTGCGATTACAATACTTCCTTTTTACTTCGTACAAGGAAGTAAAAATTTAAAAAAAAAAAAAAAAATGTGAGCTTTCAGATATAAATTACGTCCAAAGGGGCGTTTTTCTTCGTTTACACATAGAGACACGTTTCGAGAGCATATTTAATATTTAATATAAAATATTTTATTCTATAGTGTGTTGCCACTGCTCGAAATTTGAAAGCAACGCAATGCTGCACAGTGTTGCTTTGAAATCGTTGAGTTTCTTAATCAAAAAGTTTAAAAAACATGAAATAGGCAATAAAACAAAGTTCAAAATTCTTGCTTTCAAATGTGCCCAAGTTCGGGTAGAGGAGTACGTTATTCAAAATTTGATAGCTGTAGATGTAGTTGTTTTTTCACAATGCAAGAAACATAGAGAAATTCATGCAGATTCTTCATTATTTAATTTCTTTAAATGTAATACAAGGCGATAATATTTGGTGGCAAGAATTTGGAAAGCGATACAGCCGTTTATAGTGATTCGATGTAAAATTCCCTTTCCAGACTAATAGTTTAAGTAATTTTACGTCAAATATTAAAACATTTCATCAATACGTCAGCCCAGCCATCATATTAATTAAAATTGAGCCATTTAAATCTGTGATTTTGTTTCTGAAAGCCTGTTCATATTCGCAAAGTTAATAATAATAATAATAAAAGGTATTAAACATAGCTTTAATTAACTATTTGTTCAAAACTATTGCTAATATTTACTCGAATTCTTATCTTCAAGTTTTTATGTGCAATTATTTGTCTTGTGATTCTATTGTATACTGTATTTTATATAGAAAAATATAGAGGAGTCAATGAAGAAAACCATTCATTCAAAATGAGTCCATGTGAAGAAAAGTTTTGGAATCCATCCTCTGCATCAAAGACATTGATTTTTTCTCATGTTAAAATTAACTTCAATATACACTGGTGTGCAAAAATTAAGGACGAGACGGTTTTTTTCAATCTAACTTTGTACAAAAGCTTTCCAAATCAACACATTTAATACCGTAAGGATGTAAGGACATGAGTAATGTAAGCAATACTTACTAAAAGAGAAATCAGAGGGATAAAAAGAAGCTTGAAAAAAATAAATTGAAAAAAATAGCATGGAGCGCAATGCGACTGAAGGCCGAAACATCCCTGTGATGGGTGTCCAGCAAGAAACATCCGGTCTTTAATAGGAGATATGATCTCCCTTGAAAGCTAGGCAGGTTTCACAGCGTCTGCCCATGCTGAGAATGAGTGTGTGAATGAGTTGTTGAGGCATTGCTGCCCATTCGTCTTGCAGCGCCAATCGAAGCTCCGGAATCGTTACTGGTGGTAAGGCACGAGCTGCCAAGCGTCTGCCTAGAAAATCCCATACATGCTCGATGGGATTGAGATCCGGAGATCGTGCCGGCCAATCCATACGTTCAATATCCTCAGCTGTTCGGCAGCTACTGTGCGATGACATTGTGCATTGTCGTCCATGAAAATGAACTGCGGACCCATAGCGCCTCTAAAAAGACGCACATATGGAAGAAGAATCTCGTTACAATAACGGGTCCCGTTGACTGAACCTGCGTCGAAGATGTGAAGGTCTGTACGACTACCAAGCATGATGCCTCCCCAAACGAAAACACCGCCACCTCCATACCTGTCCCTTTCAATGATGTTCGAGGGATGATTGCGGCTTCCCCCGCTCTCCAGATGAGTATGCGATGAGAATCGCTACTCAGGCTGAATCTGCTCTCATCTCTAAAGAGTATCTTCCCCATTCATTGTCTCTCCAATTCCGATGTTCCCGGCACCACAGAGAACGCCTTCTCCGATGGGCAAGCGTTAGAGGTACACACCGTACAGCGCGTCGTGCAAACAGACCACCACCGTGCAGTCTTCTGGCCACGGTAAAACGCGATATCGGTCGTCCAGTCGCCTGTGTCGTGTGTCTAGCGATTTCTCCCGCTGTCTGCCGCCTGTTTCTTCTGGCCTGTAAGGCAATATACCGGTCATCTGCGGGTGTGGTTCCTCGTGGGCGACCACTACTAAACCCCCGGATAGCTGTTTCCTGTAGTTTGAAATTGTCTCCAAAGTCGTGAAACGATGCTGTGAGCAATTCCGAACTCTGCAGCCACACTTGTCACATGCGGCCTTCCTCCAATGATGTCGTCTAAAGATTGATTATTCGCCATTTCTCGCTGAGGCAGCAACTCGTGTGATTTTAACTGCTATACGGCGTGCAATCTCTTTGCCAGAAATACTGATCTTACACCGACAACATGCTTATACTACTCAGACACTCCCCCCATTACGTCTACCTGCATATCTGCGCATGTGCTACCGTACATCACCTTACTTAATCTCCTGATTGGTCTTTCTGTCCGCTCTGCCTCTTCGTTCAGCTGATATGCTAATTTTTCGACTTCGTCCTTAATTTTTGCACACCAGTGTAACACTGAATATCCCATTCAATATTTGAAATTTTCATTGCAAAATAAGTTAAAGAAAAAAAAAAGCATTCTCTGGATTATTTCCATGGAATTTAATATTAGTGAGATTTGGTCTGCAAGTAGTGGTGTTGCTGAGTACAAAAGTGCCATCAGTAATGCGTATCCGAGCAGTAGTTTTATCTCTAATTCGATTCTAAAAGAACGAGCAGCATAAATGATCGTTTCAGTAGCCGCTTGGCCCAACAGCGGCCGAGCGGTAAAGTGGCTGAACACTGGTAGTTCGGTCCAGGTTTCGAATACTGGTGTACAGGCCGACTATATGGGCGTTTTGTGATTTTCTCCATGTGTTATACTACCAGTTTCCCTTAGAAAGTTCTCCACGAAGCCATCCCTTCCCTTAGGCAGGTAGCCCTCGAGTCCCTTACCGTAATTAAATAAACCAAAGCAAACCGTAGCGTTATTTCAGGTGAAACATAAATATGTGCCATGATCGTTAAAAATGCTTTAGATGAATGCTTGCAGACCATTAGATCTTTTCTATTGTATTAGAAGATATAAAACATCTGCAATATCCTCATTGGGATTGGAACTCTTAAGTTAACTTTGCTGGAAAATCTTAATCTTAACTCTTAATTTTAACTAACTTAACTTTGCTGGGAAAGCACTTATGGAACGTGCTTTAGAATTACACCACGAAGACACGCTGTAAGGAGGGGTGAAATCCTCAAATGCTGCATTGAAAACTGTTTCTCCAAACAGATAGAGACTACAAGCGGCCAAATGATAAGAGCGCTGAACACTGGTAGTTCGACTCAAGTTCATTTGCTAGCAAATGGGGCAGCTACATGGAAGGTTTTGTGATTTTCTTTATGGTATAGCGTGACTACGAGCCAGTTTCCTCTATAATGTCATCTAAGAAAGCACCTCTTTACTGGATAGATAGCTCTCAAGCGTTTTACCTTTATCTAAATTACCTAACACTCAGATACGCACGGCATGTTAAGCTATTTATTAATATTGTTACGAAATGTACAGGCGCGGTGGGATAGCTTCCCCGCAAAGCAGTTTTAGGGTTGCCATAAAATGGCAAGGGAAGGCAGGGTTGCCCACATTTGCCGAAAAATCGTCCGTTTGGCGACAAAATTGGCGATATACCACGGACGGTTGGAGAACCTTCTGGAACGAATTCTTACCGGTTTAGCCCAGAATGTTCTCGAACACAAGCCGAAAGCTATATAAACTTTGCTGATCCGCAGTCAGTGAGTGTGTGTCTCTCATCGGGAGAGTGCCTCGTCGAGAGGGCGACTGAGAGTGTGCCTCGTCGAGTGCGAGATAGTTAGTATCAAGTTGGTGTCTCGTCTAGCGAGTCAATCCCTGTGGAGACGATCGAGTTGACAGCCGGGCAGCGAGTGCCGAGTGGGTCTTCGAGTGCATCGAAGAGTCTCTCAGTGTATCACGGTTAGTGCATCGTCGAGAGAGAATGTTAAGCTCCGGGAACGACTAAACCAAAGAGTCGGGAGCTGTGCTCTGTGTATCGTCGAGTGCATCGCGAGTTGTAGCGTGGAGAGTCTCGAGAGTACTCGGAGTTACGAGAACGACCAAGCAGAGTAAGGAGATGTACTCTGGTGCTTTGCAGTGAAGCTGTCTCCACCGTTATTGCCTGACAGTGTGCTTATAGTAGACCTTCGACGACTGTAAAACGTGTTTTGGTGGTGTCCTGACAATATTGGCAAATAAAGTGTGTTACGATACTTCATCAAGTGTCGTCGTTATTCACTCCAAATCCACACGAACCCCGTACGAACGTGAAGGAAGAAAATAACGTAACAACTGGTGTCAGAAAAAGAAAAACGCAACAATATATTTTAATCCGCTTTTATGTTAAAATGTGGATCTGCTGCTTAGAACAATGTTGAAGTTTGAACTTATTCTCTTTCAGGTTTATTTTAGGTCTCCTGTTCCTGTGCGTGTGTAGTGGGTCAGTAATCGAATGGTACCTAACTGAAAAAAACAACAATGGAGAAAAATTAATCAAAAAAAGTAAGTGGATTTTTTTCAGCTAAATTTTTTCAATAATTTCAATGAAGTGTTTATTATTTCTTGCACTGAATTGGTAACTGGCAGTTATATTCTTAAGTGACGTGTGACGTGTATTTTGCCATTTCATAAGCTGTTTCCACACATATAGCCTTATTAATGGTGGTAATTTTGTATTTGAAATGCTAACATTTGTTCTGTGCATTCTTTCTTTTTAGTTCATAAGTTAGATTACAGTTTTATATTTTGTTTATTATAACAGGTGCGTGCTTTACAGTAAATAAGAGTATGTTCTTTAATGCACTGCATTACCTCCCATCTTACTGTTTACCGTAACCGAAGTAACCCGCAGGACAGTCTTTCAATACTCACTATACTGCTGCAATTTCGCGAGAATAATGCACCACATCTAAAAGATGATCATCTGGTTACTATTAGAGAAAGAATTTTGTGATGGATGGAAAATAAAAAATGAAATCACAGTCACCAAATTGTCCAGACTTTAATGCGTTAGACTTGGGAGTTTTTTTCAATGTAATAACTGCAACATCGAGCCTTGCCCAATAATACCAATTGATGAATCGGTAGAACCAGTACACATAGCCTTTTATAATACCTCTCCCGGATAATATATTTTTGTCGCTTCAACAAGTTACGCTGGAAGCAATGAAGAACAATAGCACCAATAATGTTAAGCTCACACATCCAGGAAAAGCAAAGCTTCTCAGCCAAGGGGTCCTACCTACAAGTTTAAAATGCAGTAACGAAATTATTAAGAAATTCAGAAACTATCTGAATGCTAAAAAAATGGCAGTAATATTTAAAATTTTTTTATTTAATTTAACCTAGTTTTTGATAATACTTTTTCTCTTCAAGAGATTTGCCATGTAAATATCTTCCTACTTCTAAGTTTGTTTTCTTAGAAATAGAGGTTTTATTGTACTGGATGTTCTCTACAACTTTGTCAAACCCAATAGTCTTATTTTGGATATTGGTTGCCTTATTTTGGCTGTTGGTTTGATCATTTTGGCAGCAGCCTTATTTTGGCCAATTGCAAAAAAAATATATTTAGCTATTGGCCAATTACTTGGCTCTTGCCATGCCTTCCTTGTTTTGGCTATTGGTTTCCTTATTTTGGCAATAGTCTTTTTTTTGGGGGGGGGCTATTGATTTAATCGATTTTGGTCAAACCAATGTGGGTTTTTTTTTCTTTGCTTTGCTATTGCTTGGCTATTAGTTTCACCGGTTATTGGTCAAACAAATAAATTTATTTTGAGGTATCAGTGCTGTTACCGGTTGGCAGACTATATTATATCGATGCTTCATTATAAGAGTGTATCATTGTTCGTCAATTCAAATGTGTACTCCGGCATAAATTTGTCTGCAGCATTAGGAAGATCAGGTTTGAAGAAAACAACCCTCATGAAGGTGTCAGAACATTTAATGAGGTTTTCTTATTCCAAGTTAAAAGCTAATCTTCATAAAATTGAGGGCTTTTCTAGGGCAGCCAGGGAATATTTGTGAAGGCTTTCGTCGTGACAAAAAATGGCCGAATTGGAAAATGTCCGTTATGAAAGCATTCCGTCATTGAACTCGTTTACTGACATTAAAGATTCATGCTTTAAGAGGAACGTCAGAGGAACTTGGAAGATTTCTTCTGAGAAGGAAACAAGATATAAACTATTTGCTACATACATGTACAACTACATTAATTTGCTAAATATACAATGGAGGTAATCTATAATTAATTGCTTCTTTCATTCTTATTTCGCCTATATTCAAAATTACTGAAAAAATTCCCACAAACTTGCAAACTGTTTAGGAACTTTTCAGCGATTTAGAACCTCCAGTGAACTGAAACTGGTTTTCAGTCACTGAAAACCAGTTTCAGTTCATTGAATTGGATACTAAATAATCCTGTGTAACCGTAACAGATGTAAAATATTACAATTTTTATAGAGCTCTGTGCATTTTTCAGGTTTGGTTCAAGAAATTTTGTTAGCTTTCTCCATTCAGAGGAATGTGAGAAAATTGTGTTCGTCTAGCAGCCGGACGGGAGAGATGAAGAGTCTTCATGGCATCAGAGCTCTTAGCATGACGTGGGTTATCTTAGGCCATACCTATATATGGGTAAACGTCCAGGCCTTGAGTAAGCAATCTGTGATGCACTTACCAGTTATTGTAGTACATTTATAATTTTGCTCATTGAATATTATCTAGTGTGATGTATTTTACACATTTTAATCATGAACTACAATATTTAGTTTTATGAAACTGATTTTATACGTCTCATTTAACTTAAATGAATAGTTCTTCGTTAAGAAGATTTCGTGAGCTTTACTGTTACTATGCGAAACTTCACTCTACAAAAAGATACTTAGTTATTCTTAAAGTTGGTATACTTGTAACGTCAGCAATATTGCTCCATGAGTTTTTGCTCCGCCTTTATTCGTACATTTGTTTCTATTACAGTTGAATATGCGAACCGAGTTTAATTTAAATGCAGATAATTATTGTAATTTTAGTGTTGCACTATTTCACTAAAGTTGAATAGCAAGACTTTGAAATAGAGGTTAAAGTTTTTCTAAAATTGACTTGATCTCATAATATTATACTAAAATAGAACACATTTTAAGTTATTTTACTAAAATTAAATATTTCAGGTTCTGAAGCTAGTATTAAATCAATCTAAAATTAAGTTAATCTTCTCATAACATGATACTGAAATCAAGTGAATTTTGATTTTTTTTAAATACAAATTGCTCGAAAATTGAAAATTTCAGGAAAACTATTTCCAGTCCAGTTACAAGAGCATTTTAAGTTAACTACATTGTACTTTCGCGATACCTTGCAATTTGATCCCAATTTTATTAGTAAAATTAACTGGCATCGATATATCACGTAACTCTCATCTAACCAATCAAAAACCTCTTCTGATGGTTTCATCGAGAAGTAGTTTTTGAATTTATTTGCTTTGTGTACCTTTCATTTTCCAAAGAGAAAAAAAAAAACTCTCTTGTTATAAGATTTTACGCAAAGGTTATTTTCATACAGAATCAATACTACGCAAAGGTTATTTTCATACAGAATCATAAGAAATATTCAAGAATAATGTGGACTAAAGGTAGAAATTGTAAATTTTATTAGGCTACGTCTAGATTATCAGTTCCTCATAGTTGGGCACAATTAGTGTAGTTCAACGAAAATCGTTGAGAACAAACAGGGCCATCATCAGAAGAGAGAGGAATTGGTAGCCAACCATTAACGAAGTATCCCCAAGACCAAAACCCAATTGCAGTATGAATTTTCCGTCCCCACATGGAAGTGATCGGCTGTCATACCAAGTCTCCGGCGGAAAGCATATAATTTTCTGCCTTCACAGGAGGAAACGGGTCTCCATAAAAAGGCCCCTGCGGTAAATTTTCTACGATAATTAGTGCCCTATGGCCATATACAAGATTAAACATGGACACCGATCTTTATGTTCTTTCACATATCATTTTTCTTTAATTCGATTTCGTGCAAAACGCGCCTGCCCGCAAACTTCCTTTTGGGATTGCACAAAGTCCCGCTCTTGTGTGGGACTGGTTATCTCGTTTCACTTCCACAGAGCACAAAATAACCATGCCCTCCCCGACTTTTTTCCATGTACAGCTCTCTATTCCTCTTTTTGGTGAATTGGGTTTTGGAGAGTTTAAATCCTTGGAGTATTTGTATGCCTCTTCCAGAACCCCTACAAAATGCGACAAAAACACGCTCCAACTTCCTTCGCCCGTGCATGCGTTGGGATTTAGAACTGTTGTTCCCAGTTTAGTTTGTGATGGTTTCCGGTCCACCTCCTCTGCAAACCTCCCTGTTTCACATTAGATAAATCGAAGCCCAGAATAAGCGTTAACCCCTCTTTCTGGAACATACGAAAACAGTTCTTTCAAGCCACCTGCATTTTGTTTGGATCAAGATTTGGATCTTAACAAAACAGAAATATTTTTTGATGAATGTGGTCGTGCCAAAATCCAGTTCTCCAAAAGTTTTTTGGAAATTTTGATTTCACGGAATCGAATTGTAGAAGTGTGACTTTCTGGTCTCCCACGCAAACATAGACTTCTGTGTTTCTCCGAGCTGCGCAAAACCCCTGACCCCAAGATGGACTCGCGCCTAGCCCCCTCCCCCTAACGGACAACAAGACGGAAACGTAATCTAATTCCTTGACTAATGGCCATTTCGTATTTTACTATTTACGGATGCCCTTTGGCGATTTCTGAAGATACATGGACACCGAGTTTATGTTCTTTGACATATTATTTTGGCTTTACGTAGTGGCGATTTTTATGCCAAAATCGTCGCTCCGCAAATCCAAAATAAAGAATTGCACAAACTCGATATCTTGATCATTGATTATTGATATCGATACATTGATCTATTTTCACTTAAAAAATCACAGAATTGCACAAACCAGGCCCTCCCTTGACTTTTTCCATGTACACATCGATCTATAGTCACTTTAAAAGGTCAAAGGAGTAGCCAGTAAAAAATATATAATATCAATAAACTACATTTTAAATCAAACAATCAAATAACATAAAAAAGGATGACACAATAACACGCCGAATAAATACTAATTCAGAAGACAAACAACAAAAATCAGCGTTAAATTTACAAAAATTCCACAGGACTAGTTTCGATGGTTTGAATGAACCATCATCTCAGCTGCAAAACCGCAAAATGAACCAGATAGGAAAAATGATTAGATAAGATAGAAAGCCTGGACAAGAATAAGCAAGAGGGCCATCTGTTGGTGAAACCAGAATAAAACATAATTTTTTAAAGGCCGAAGGCAAATTTGGATTGGAATAGGATCGTTAACTAGAACAGAAATTTTTGTATGAATGTGAAATGCCTCTAGAAAATCCAGTTCTCCAATGGAAGATGTTTTTTGAATAATTTTGGCAGCAGAAAAATTGAAAGTGTGATTTTCGGACCAACAATCTTGCGCAACAGAAGATTCTGTGTTTCTTTTTTTCTAACATATGCCTCATGTTCTTTGACGCGAAATTTTAAGGCTCTCTTAGTTTGGCAATGTAAATTAAACCACACTGGCAAGGAATCCTATAAATTACCCAGGAATTCATATCCGGAAGGGGGTCCTTAAGTATGGAACTCGGAATTTTATTGATGGGAGAATAAACAACACGAAAGTTAAATTTCTGCAAAATATGTGCAACTTTATAGCTAATTGATGGGAAGAAGGAAATGACAACAGAATTTTTATAATCTCCTAAAACAAGAGTGTGCTTTTTAGTGTGTTGAGATGAGAATTTTTTAACTGCTTGATTAATAATGTTAGGTGAAAAGCCCCTGTCAATAGCTATTTGCTTTTAAATAATTTAGTTCTTCATCGAGGGCTAGTTTGGAGGAGCAAACTTGAAGAGCACGGAAAACATAGGAATAAAATGAAGCTAACTTTTGTTTAGTCGGATGACATGAACATCTTCCATTGGATGAAAAACATCTTCCATTGGAGAACTGGATTTTCTAGAGGCATTTCACATTCATAAAAATCTTTCTGTTCTAGTTAACGATCCTAATTCCAATCCAAATTTGCCTTCGGCCTTTAAAGAAATTATGTTTTAGTTCTGGTTTCACCAACAGATGGCGCCTCTTGCTTATTCTTGTCCAGGCTTTCTTATCTTATCTAATCATTTTTTCCTATCTTGTTCATTTGCGGTTTTGCAGCTGAGGATGGTGGTTCGGTAAAACCATCGAAACTAGTCCTGTGGAAATTTTGTAAATATAACGCTGATTTTTGTTGTTTGTCTTCTGAATTAATAAAAAAGGAAATTCATCTTACACTACACAAAGGAAATATCCACTTACCTTATTTACAAATTTTCCTCTCTTCAGTCAAACAAAATTCCTTAACAGCATCCAAAAACTTCCTAAACTTATCTGAACTAGAATCTGCATACTGGCGTTGCCATGTAAATTCGCAAAAATAAGAGTAAAAAATATCCTCCGCAGCGCAGGTATCCTCCGATGTTCGACCATACGCATTTTCTTCCTACAAACAGGACACTTATAGTGGCAACTAAGTAAACCTTCATTTAGACGATACATGGTCTAAATGAAATCCATTTCCAGTCAATTAATGCTTTTCTTCCTTTCGTTCGAAATCGTACAGAAACTTAATTAATCTTACAACATTCAGCCATTTTACCGTGTAAACCACAAAATAACAACGTACCAAAATCCGTCCCATAATTCAAATTCACCACAATCATGCAACCAATTACGTCATAAGAGGGTTTCCATAGCATTCAACTACGCAGGTTACCATAAATGAAACATCAACTTGGCGATAAATGAAACAACAGCTTAGCAATAATCCAAGAGGCACCCTTCAATCTACTCTAATCACCACCGCTTTCGACCTTATTAGAAACCAACGCCTACAACGGCTAGTGCCCACTATTGGAAAAATATATTTATATGAGCTTGTTGCATTTCATAAGAAAACCGTCTTCAGCCTGACTAGATTATTAAATTATAGTAAATCATAACATGTTTATATGTCTACAGCAAGCGATTTCTTCACAGAGGACTTTCTGACAAAATTATTCCTTATCTACATTGCACATAAGGAAAACCACGCCTCTAAGCATAGTCTTTCAGACAAAAAGTATTTATGGTTTCACAGAGTATGCTCCATTCGATAACTTTTCATGGTTTCCTCCATTTTTAACGTCAGCAAAGTCCATTTTTTATTAAAGGAAGTCTTCGAGTAAGGCATCCCTTCCTTGACAGATAGCCTTGAGTAGTTTGCCTTATTTAAATTAACCAACCAGACAAGACAGTACCAGTAGGGTCCTTGCCAAGCTTGAACCAACTCCTGAATGAACGCAGGTTCTAATACTGTGAAGGATGACTATATATCCCCGTGGTAGAGACTGCTTAAGTACAGATCCTTGCTAATAGCTTCGCAGGGTCGACTCCCGGGGAAGGGCGCTGAGCTCTTGACAGTCGAGAAACCTTCCCAACATCTTTTGCACTTTGCCCGCCTATTCCCTAGTTTACTTGAATGGAAATACCATGAATGGAAAGATCGCGATTAATTATTGTCGTGATTATAAGTAAACAAATCACTGGCTCACAGATCCTTGCCAGTAGCTTCCCAGGGTCGACCCCCCCGAGGAAGGGAGCTCGGTTCTTGACAGTCGAGAAAACTTCCCAACATCTTTTGCACTTTGCCCGCCTATTCCCTAGTTTACTAGACTGGAAATACCATGAATGGAAGGTTTGCGATTAATTATTGTCGTGATTATAAGTAAACAAATCACTGGCTCAACATCGAATACTTCATGTTTCATTCTTCTAGCACCAACACTATTCCATGCTTACAACCAGATAATCATGACGTGCAGCTGTGCAATTGAGGAAACTATCCATAAATTGTTGTTTGTGTAGTAAGCTACGATAACTACACGTTATAAGTGGGTTTCGAAACATGGGTATGCGTAAAAGCATAGTTCCCCTTGGCTATCCTTCCCATGATGCTTTCTCTCAATATGTAAATTTGAAGTTCTTGTTTTATCTAATGAAAAGCATTTAAAATGCAAAATGATTTCAGATCCTTTTTATGTTTTCAGGGAAATCCAGTGTAGCTAGTGTATGGTTTAACAACTTGGAATTTGAAGCCGTTTTAAATGGCTGGCTTTCAGTGTCATCGTTCATATTCCTCAGGTAAGATTTTCACTTTAAATACAGTGGTACAGTGGTATATGTCACTAATCAGTCCCGGATCCTTAGACGTATACCAAATAAAATTTTCTAATCGGATACAAATGCAAAACAATTAATCCATTCTTATAAAAAAAAATCCTGTTTTTATTCTCATGACACTGTTTGAGTACTGAAATACTTTTAGGTAAAGGTACAAATAAAGTGGGTGGAAAAGTGAAGACATTGTGCACGTGATACTGTATATAAATATTTTTCTGCTTTTTAGATCAAAAGTACTTTTCAACATATTTTAGTGTGTTTGATCTGTCTCTGGTTATCGATGCAACGTTAGCCATTTTCATAACGTCTTTGTTTTTTACAATCTTAAACATCATCGTTCTCGGCATACGGTATGCAAAAGCCAAGACTTAGATTTTTTTCACCTCCATGGTGATCCTAACAATCTTCTTCGTTGCTTTACTATTTTCATTAACTAACCTAGAACTCATTATTAATGCGTTTACGAGGCTTTTACATCCCAAGTTACAGCATAGTGGTGATGTTCTTCTGCTGTATTGGATGGCCGGGGATCTTTTGTCCTGAGCAAGCGGTTGCTTCGCCTCTTATCACAGAAGATTTTAAAATTTTAACTGTGCAATTTTTATGTCTTACTTTTTTGGTATTGTAAAGACTTGAATTTTAGTGTTGTAATTTTTAAGTGATTTTAATGTGATGTAATTTTCAATTTAATGTTTGTTTTTGGCGAGTGGCCTGATGTAAATGGATTGATTTCCGAATAAAGCTGTAAGAAACAACAAATTCTACGCGAAAACATACAAAATCATTTGAAAATTCAGAGTTATAGCCTGAGTTATTTACTGAATGGTAACAACAAGCGTACTGGCGGCCATGAGCAGCCGTAGCATTGTCTCGAGTGAAGTAAACAAGTGCAATGTGAGCAGTCCTGACTCACTAAACTCAAGTCATATTCCATACAATATTTTCAAATCCAAACAGGAACACATACGAAGTTGACTTATTTCAAAAGCGGACGTATACCGAGGTAACACTGTACTTCTCTTTATTAACCCTAAATGTAGAGCTGTATGCCACAATAAATATTTTAACATTGGTATTATTTACAAAAGTTAAATTTTCAGTCTACCGTTTAACTTAGAGGTATTAAGTGATAAGGTTTTAAAAACCATTTGATTTCAATCATATTTGCTGAATTCTCTTCGGTTAATTAAAAAGCACAGAAAGCTCTCAGAACATCTTTCTTCTAATGATTTTTTGGTCAAGCAAGATGGCGTCTCCATTATTTTTATTCGTACATGTTAGGTATGCCAAAAGTATCTTAGCTTTACGTAGCAAATTTAGAATTAATTATTCTATTAGAATTTTACGTAGCAAATAATTACGAGCTGATGAGGGCGTGGGAAAATACGTGGTGTTTTAGTAAAAACACCTCGCGAGATTTTTAAACGTAGCATTTCTAATATATGTTTATTGCCTGGGAATAAGGTCATCATAACGTACTCTGGTAAATTCAGTCTTTCTCACGTGAAAAGCACTTCTTAAATTTTGTCTTTTCGACCGTACTCGTTAGGTCATTATCACATTATGTTTCGGCTACGCGGGACTTGACATCGAAAGGGACAATTCTCAGAACCCGCATAATTCCAGGAAACACACGTGGCTAAGTTACCATTCTCACTTACTGCAAAGACTTGAATGCCAAACAGTAATCGATTATCCCTCAAATCGGGATTACGGGATCCTTCAGAAGCAGCTCATTCGTCTGATTGGTTGTCTGTACCCGGGACCCCCAGACATTTTCGGTTTGAAAAATCCCCGCTTAGCTCAACATTGCCTCTATAGCTAGGCGGGACTTCGCTGCAGGAGGGGCTCTGTTTTCTAGGAATCCTCCCGTTAAATCAGTGCTGCCAGAATCTCATTTTTCAGAAAATTCCCGTCTTGCAGGGACTGTAGCCATATGTGATAGCCTCTTTAGTCGAGCGAACAGACCGATGTCACTTCAGACTAGAAGACATCTTGAGTTCGATCCCAGATGAACTCATGAATACGTTTTCTGGATATGTAAATATTTTATCTCCTTCATTGTTTACATTATATCAATGCCGCATATTTGGTGAAAGATTTAAGTTAATATTTTCACTAATTTGAAACGTGTCATTCTCCCCTATTGCGAATGCTAATTACACACGGCACTTGTGTATATTATTTATTGCTTTTTCTACATCAAGTGTTCACTGAATTGATATTTTTTATGTGAAATGCTGTGATATTTGCAAATTGCTGTCGCTAGATTTATGTGATATATCGCCACTTAGGAGCTACAAGAAATGCTTCTTTTACGTTCATGTACTCTTTCCCGTTTATTTACTTCTAGGCACAGGCTCTTCCGTATCGACCGATTTTAAGACTTTACATCTGATATTCCTAGGGAACAAGTGATAAATGAGATAAAGACTAGACCAAGTCGAAAACCTCTTTACAAAGTGGTGATCTCCGATCTCTCCAGTTTCCCAGTTGTTAGTTCAGAGCAACTTCAGAGCATTGAGATATCTGCGAGAGCTTCGCCTTTAAAATTCGCTTTGCATTGCTTTGTGTTTAACGTTCTAAGTAGCTTGGAGTGTAACTTCTGATTATGCTCTGTGATGCTGAGAAGAGCTGCATAAGTGCTTTTGTAGAAAATTCCAGAGCTGTAAAGTGCTTCTCTTGGTAAAAATAAAGTTCATCAGGCTATCATCGGTTCTGTGTGCATTCAATATATTACGAGCCCGTATGCGCACAACATTGTGATTTTAAATACATAATAAAGATTTATTAATGTTCATTTGCTAGATATGTATCCTTTAATATTCACTGAAGAAAATTTACATTGTATTGCCATTTTCCACATTCTTCAAACAAAATGTTTACACAATGCACTGCCACTTTTTACTTCCTTGTACGAAGTGAAGGAAGTATTGTAATTGCGAAAAATTTCGGGTATCATGTTTCAACGCAAATATCCATTTCAACCACTCTCAAAAGCATTTAAACGATGTTTTTGGGTGATATCTGCGCGTACGGACAGAATACAGGACTGTTATTCCCAAAGAGGATTGTAAACTGAATTTAAAATGGATTCAGAACAGACTTTTTCTTCTCGTCAGTACGTACGTATGCATCTATTTCGCACAACTGAAGAACGCGTAGCCGTAGAACGTTGAAATTTTGTATATGGAACTGCTATAACATGTAGTTATGCACCTCCTTCTTTTTCATTTCAATTACCTGCACTAGTCGTATTATTATATATATATTATAATATAGTCGTATTATTATATATTATTATATATAACATTATATATATATATATTGCTGCTCTATTACTTGACTTGCTGAGCTTAGTTTTATTATATGTCGTTATAATAAAACTAAGCTCAGCAACTTAGTTTTATTATATGTCGGTAAATTTTGTATTCTTTGCTTCAAAAGTGATTTAATTATGTGGTTTTTATGTTCTTATGTTCCGGTTAAGGTTTTTATGCCTTTAGTTAATCTACGTGGGATAGTTGTAGAATTATCAACAATTTAAAAGTTTGGTTAATCTTCGGATTATGGTAACGTGGCGATTTTTTGGCGACAATTTGGCGATTAACCCTGCTACAGCAACCTGCTAGTTTTTTTGGGGGGGACGCCATTTTGTTTTCAAAAAGTAAAGGCACTTTTTTTTTTTTTTTTTTTTTTTTTTTTTTTTTTTACTCAACATTTTTTTTCCAACAATCTGCTAGCCGAATTACGCTTATGCTAGAACTTTTATGGAAAAAAAGTGCTTAATCATGACGAAGATTAGGTGCGAAATTGGGAGAAAGTGCAGAATCGCCCACTGCTTGCCGTGTATTTAAGAATTGCGCATACACGGTATCCATGTGCACGTCGACCTATTTTCACTTAAAAAAAAAAAAAATCCCAGAATTGCACAAAAATGGCATTGCGCACACTCTTGACTTTATCCATGTACACTGCTAAAGGCCTAGCTAGTAACCTTTATCGCCTTGCCAAAATGTCGCCAAACTACCTGTTACCATATTCCAAAGCTTAGCCAAAAGTTTAAGTGGCGAGTTAAGCCTAATGAACTGCCATTTGTTTACATTATGAAACTCAGTGAAATAGTGAATTAAGTCAGCTTCTGCACCTTCAGTGTCTTTCTGCCGAGAATTTTTAGTTTTGTGCACCGAAAATAATGTCTTTTTGGCGCTGGCCGAATTACATTTTATGCGTAGAAACTCGAATTTTAATTGTAAAATTTGTGTTTTTAACTGCATTTGGTGTTTTGTGTGTGTTTTTTTTTTTTTTTTTTTTTTTTTATTTTACCATTTTTAATGAAGACGTTTTGAGTTTTTATGTATTTTTGCGCCAAAGTGAGAACTGAATTCATTGAATGAGAAATATATCTATAAGGAAATTCGAGGAAACAAATTTAAATGAAATGCAGAGGAGAATTGCATGTAATTTAAGATCATGTGGTGTACATATCAGATTTTTTTTATTTTTAAGGGATCTGCAATACCGCAGTTTATAACTAGGCAGTCCTAACAAAAGCATGTTGTTGGCAACCTTTTTAACCCACAGCTTTGAGATATACACCTTAATTCGAAGTACAGCTCTGGAATTTTTTAAATCCGCTCATTTACCTTAACGTTTATTCGAAGCCTATCTATCAGTCAATTAATCTGAGAGGCTCTACGGCTAAATTTTAAATGTTTTAATGCAGGTTTTGTATCTATATAGCAATAACATTCTTTTAATAACGATATAAAATAATCTTTCTTGGTTAAACAGCTTATTCGGTTGAAAATCCACCAGTCCCTCTTTTTTGGTCAGTAAATTATAAATTTCTGAAGCAATAAAGCCTTAATGAAATAGATGTGGATGACCAAAAATAAAGCATAATTAGCTGTAAAATAAGTATATTTCATATTCCTGTCCTAAATTTTCATAAATAGGTTTGAAATGGTAGATTTAACTAAAGCTTTTCAAGTGCTAAAACGTTATAATTATGATTTACTGTGACTGCGAAACTTTTCTTGTTTCTTAAGCATGTATACTTTAATAAATATTACAGTTACTACACTAGAAGCAATCCAACATAAATACTGCACCAAAATTTCATATTTCCAATCAGGCATTAGAGTACTGCCAGATTGGAAGCTGATTGATTATTGATTGCGGATTGATTAATAGAAGCTGGCTTATTAGCCCAAAGGAGCGTTAGCTCAGAAGGCCTGTTTTAAGCCATTGATAAAATGCAAAATTGATTGCATATTTTAAAAGATAAATGAGAATGTGATGAATAGGAGCTTACCTCATCAAATTTTATAATAGCTTCGATATAAGCCAAATTGGAATTTGTTTTATTAGCTATTCATAATTGTAAACCTGTAACGAATTTTACATTAACCAATGATTTCAAAAAAGGCTCTGCGACTGTCTCGGAAATTCTCGATGAACGAAACATGATATCTGTGGAACTGATATTTAATAAATAAAGGTAATACACATAACGTTAAAAAGACGCCCCTTTGGGAGTAATATAAAATCTGAAAGCTTTCAGGTTTTTATTTTCTAGTCGTGATAGATTTATAACTGTTTCACTTCTTTAGCTGATTTTTCTTTTTATTATTTCAGTGGTCTTCTGACAGCCCATACAACATTGCAATATATGAATAAGACGCGAGGACGAATTAATATATTTCTTTATATTTTGCGTCGATTCTTGAGGTAAGAGTACTTAATTTTTCATGTTTCTTTTCACATCAGACTGTTCCACTCTTTCTTTTAATTTAAGTATCATATTTTTAACAGACTTTCCTGCATTGTCTTAACATATGCAATGCGTGACATTCTAGGAATAGGCATTCTAGGAACTTAGGCATTCTAGGAACTTAGGCATTCTAGGAATACCTAAGTTAGCCTTACTTCATCCAAAATATAACTAGTAAACAAAATTTATTAATAATAACAACTGGAGGACTAACGATCAAGTTTTGAAATATTTACAAAGACGAATTTCACGCATAATTTTTCAGATAAAATAAAAGTAAACCTGAGTAATTTTTAAACTGAATTAATTCGAAAAATTCAAGATCTGTGATGAAGTCTGGCTTTTGGAATTTTTACTGCCATCCAAACGAATACCGCTACTCTCTCTCTTCTGGATCATGGGAGAGTAACACCTCATAAAATTACAAGCCCGTGATAGGAGGGAGTCAGTATAAGCGGTATTATGGTACGGATGAATTTAATGTCAAAAGATAACTTTTGAACTCATTAATTTATGAAGTTGTTGAGCTTTTGATTCAAGTATGGAACAATAGTGATACAGGAAGAGTTGTAATTGGATTTATAATGTTTCTAAATTTAACATAGATGTAAAAATATAGTTAAAAGGATGTTTTAGTTTGTTTAAATAGAAACTTTTATCCATTTATTACTTTAAAAAAAGTTATAGTTTGTTAGCTATTGCATTCAATTTAACTTCGTGATTTGACTTTGTTTTCATTGGACCATAAAGCCAGTATACTATATTCTGTCAGTACTTTGGCCTTAGGAAACACATAATTAAAATAAGTATGATTGATTATTGACGGACATAATTTCAAAGCTCATAAATTTGTTTTCTGTCATTGAAGTGTTGTTTATCAATTATTAAATTTTAGCAGTTCGTAACTAAGGGAAATATATATGTAATATCAGTGCCTTTATTTAAAAGCCTTTTATGTAGTGCAATTTTTGTAGTGCGAAATATCTGAGAGATATTGCCTTTGCCAATATATTTTACAACGTTACTAGAAAATTACCGTTTAAAAAAGCGTATTAATTTGAACTTTCTAGAATTTAAATCTGTTCTTTTAAAGACTTTTAAAGAATGTTATAGCGATCTTTTGTTGTTTATGAAATACTACTTAAAATTTCATCATCATCATTGCATTAAAAATTCATCACTTTCATAGAAGTCATAGAAGTCACTTTGGATTAGCAAGTCAGATCAAACCTATTTTCTTATCTATTTCATGATAGCATTGGTTTAAAGGACCTACAAAATGCACTTTAGATTTTAATCCTAACCCTCAAATAAAATGAACGATTAACCGCAGAATTATTTAAAGTATGGTCTACATACGCTTTACATTGTTATGGTGCGATGCACGAAAATGCATCTTATAATCTATTCTTAAAATTAATTATGTTGATGTCTACAATGCACCAATAGAAAGTGTAATTTCAAATCATTGCAGAAATGAAATTGTCAAAATTGGCAGATGATGCATTTCCATTTTACTTTGGCAGGTTGTATCCATCCCTATTGTTACTCCTTGGCGGAATATTCTTCCTGCCCTGGATTGCTTCTGGTCCTTTCTGGCCTGAGTTGCCTGGTGTAGAAGTTAACAACTGTCGTCGATTTTGGTGGACAAACCTTCTGTTTATCAACAACTGGAGACCGATTAAGGAAATGGTAAGATAACGTTTTGTCTGAAATGACAGCACTTATTTCATAGTAAAATAGATGTGGTTTAACATTGCAGTATGAGAATTAGATTACACGCATGAGTCCTTACGGTATACGATAAATTTTACTAAATCTGCATTTTTCAGCATAACTTGCTGCTATATTATCCTCGCATATTAACAAAGATATTAGTTCTTTTTATATTATTTCGAATGAACAAATAAAAATAACACTTTAGTGTGTTTATAAAGACAATACGGCATTTCAAAATTTTGTAATTTTTTTTTTTAATCGATTAGGGTTTACAGCTTTATTTCCTGTCAATGATTTTGTTTTGGAAAGGTATATGTTGTAGCTTTCAAATGAACGCTCACCATTCGCAAAAATTCCTGTCTGTAACTTCTCAATAAGCAACCTATATCAAACTTATCTTCAGACCTACATCATGTGCACACCTACCCGGCATGGGCTACAGTTAAGAGAAACGCTACTGAGAAACATCAAATATTCTAAAATAATCGTTTAGAGCAGGGTTTCTTAAACTTTTCTCAGTCGCGACCCCTTTTCATCACTGAGAGTTTTTCGCGACTCCGAGGACCCCATAATATTTACAAAAATTATGTGGGACCCCAAAAGTATTGCACAAATCTAACACACGCTTGAGTGAAACTGTCAATTTTTTCACTTGTATACCGTCTGTGTGGCTATGCAATATTTCTTGTTTTATATAAAAGAATGCAAGAACAGTTTATGATCAATTGCATTTATTTATTCAGTTTATGTGTTCTTTCATTTGGTTTGGTCTAAATTAACCATAAGTAAAGTTAGTAACAAAAGTGAGGTCCTTAGCACATATGCAGATATCATTGCATCAAGCATAAAAATGCATCTTAGAAAAATAAGTAACAGTAAGTAATAAGTAATTTTATAATGAAAAGTGATAATACTAACAGGCAAGAAAAATCTTGGAAACCATTTAGAGTTATAAAAGAACTTTCTGATTTGCTGTATCTCATACATTTAGTATCTGTAAATAATATACATGTACTGTATATAAAAATAGTTATAAAAAAATACCCTTGTATTGGATATAAATATAGTTAATTTAAGAATAATATATAATAGTTAATAAATATTTATTATATTATTATTATTAAGAATAATATATTAATAATAGTTAATAAATATTTTAATTTAATAAATATAGTCAATCTAAGAAGCGTTGATGCGATGAATTAAAGCGTAAAATTTACAGGACATTATTTTTTTTTCCTTTTTGAAATACTGTCAAAAGTCGTTAATCCGGACTCGTCGGGACTTCGGCGATTCCGGATTATCGATTTTTCCGGATTATAGATCATCAGTTTAAATCTGGTAAGATGGCATGCAAAAATTACAAAATTAAAAATATGAAACCGTAATTTATGAAATAAAGAACAATTATGATCTAAAGGGTATCAAAATTTACAAAAAAAAATCTTAATATTTATTTGTTTACTTTATTAAACATTTCCTTCAATGTAAGTTGCTTCGTTTCATGTGATAATACTTTCTCTTTAATTCTATTAAACAGACATAATTTCTTGTTTAGTTACAAAGTTCCGCTGTTCAAGTCCTATAATTGCTGTGTTGAGAATACCGACTAATTTGTCAATCGAAATGTTTTCGTTTTCAATAACCTCTGGGTCACTTTCTTCACTATCGGAAGCGAATTATAATGACAAGGAACTTGATTTAAATCATATCAAAGACGGAGTATATCGAGATGAAATACTACACTTAGTACGGAATTATAATCCAAATAAAATAAAAACATCTGCTCTGAAGATAAGGATAGTGTTGACAGATCAACTTCCAATCCGCGGCGTGAAATTGATAAACAGATTTCGGATTTCAAAACATACTTTCGCTTTGTAGATACAAATTACATATTAGTAAATATATATTGGAAATTCTATTTGACATAATCTTTCTAATCTATCATAATCTAATAATGACGTTTCTGCCCCCCCCTCTGCGGCAGAGCAGCGTGTGAAATTGATAAAACAGATTTCGGATTTCAAAACATACTTTCGCTTTGTAGTAAATATATATCGGAAATTCTATTTGACATAATCGAAAGTTCAAGCTTACTTTTATAAAATTGCTCTAACAGTCTGCAAAAAATAATAAGCCGGATCCAATTCGAAGATTAAGGAACAACGCAATCTGCACCATTAACTGAATTAGATAACTTTAGCTTAGCGTATAACTCCGTTACACATTAAACGCGCATGCGCACAAACATATTCGCAGCCGTAAGGGTCTTACGCGCTCTCGTAAACGCCTGTGCGCATGCGTGAACGCGACGCATGCGCAGGAAGTTTGTAGCTTTGAGGTCCGGATTATAGATCATTCCGGATTATGGGTGTCCGAATTAACGACTTTTGACTGTAGTAGAAACCTATTCTGAAAGTAATAAACTTAAAAGAAAATTTATTTATAGATCTGCATTCAATACCACTCATTTATCCGAAACACGATGGAAACAATTGCTTGCTTTTATTGCAATACATTGTATCTTCAGTGTAATAAAATCCTGCTTAACTGAAATCTAACATAGAACATAAAGTAACATATTTTGTTGTTTGAAGAAGAGAGTCCGTATCTGTGTCATTCAGAATATATTTCTTTTTGAATAAAATAAGCGCCAGCACCAAACTGAGTTTTAATTCATTTTGAATATTATAAATATTTTTATTTTCACCTTTATTTGTTGAAAATATTCATCATGAGTCAACTGGAAAACAGTGTTATTCGGAATAGATTCACATCGAAACTTTCAGATAAACCCGTATACACTGTATGTTAGAACAAACAGTAACATGAGTGTTACAAATAAAAGTAGTGAGAAAAACAACTAGGATTTTAAAATGTGTTACAATATATTGAGTTTATCTTAATTTACACCCATTTTTAAGCAATATTCTAGATAGTTCCATTTTTTGAACTATATACAGTTATGCATTTTCAGCTCATTCGTCCGCTAACAAATGTTCATTATCAAATGTTATCATGTTTCATCTTTTCCGCTTTAATTGCTATTTACTGCTGTATACAAAGTAAAGGAAGTATTGTAATTACGAAAAGTTTCAGGTATCATATTTCAGCAGAAATAGCCATTTGGGGAATGCTTTGTGTGATGCTTTTACCTTACGGGCAGAATAAAGGATTGTTTTCCGAAATGTAGTGTAAAATGGATTCAAAAAGGATTTTTTTCGTGATATCTGTACTTACGTACACATATATACAGGGTGTACCGTAAATGTTGCCACAAGAAATGCATAGGAAGACAAGACAAGAATTGCAATGCGTAATGTTGCGACAAGAATTGCATTGTATGCAAGAATTGCATAGGAACCTATACCCGGAAATGTCAGGGGTAAGTGGTAGCAGAAGTAGAAGATGGGAAAAGAAGCAAGGGTGATTACTAATTCAGAAGCCAAACAACAAAAATCAGCGTTATATTTTCAAAATTTTCACACGACTAGTTTCGATGGTTTTACCGAACCACCATCCTCAGCTGCAAAACTGCAAATGTCCGTCTTCTACCTCTGCTACCACTTACCCCTGACATTTCCGCGTATAGGCTCCTATGCAATTCTTGCATACAATGCAATTCTTGTCGCAACATTATGCATTGCAATTCTTGTCTTGTCTTCCTATGCAATTCTTGTGGCAACATTTACTGTACACCCTGTATATATGCGTACGTAAGTACAGATATCACGAAAAAGAATCTCTTCTGAATCCATTTTACACTCCGTTTCGGAAAAACAATCCTTTATTCTGCCCGTAAAGCATCAAAGCATTCGCCAAATGGCTATTTCTGCTGAAATATGATACCTAAAACTTCTCGTAATTACAATACTTCCTTTACTTTGTATACGGCAGTAAATAGCAATTAAAGCGGGAAAGATGAAGCATGATAACATTTGATACTGAACATTTGTTAGCGGACGAATGAGCTGAAAATGCATAACTCTATATAGTTCAAAAAATGGAACTATCTAGAATATTGCTTAAAAATGGGTGTAAATTAAGATAAACTCAATATATTGTAATACATTTTACATAATTTGAAACGTTTATTCGATATGAATACAAACGATCTACGAAAGCTTGAATATTACAACAGATGCTCGAAGTTTGCACCATCAGACACCAAACATGCCTGACACCGAAGGACCATTTGAATGCAGGGAATTATTTGATATTTCTGGAGCAAGTTCTTCCCGATTTGCTTGACGATGTTCCTCCAAATACGAAACGCAACATGTTATTCGAACATGATGGGGCCCCTGCTCATTTTGGATTGGATGTTCGTATCCGTTTGAACAGATCATTCCCGCATTGATGGATTGGCTCACCGTATTTATGGATTCGTGATTTCTTTTTGTGGGAAACCAAAAGTGTCGCGTATCACGATCCTGTTGTGTCTGAAATGGATCTCGTGGCACGACTCGCCTGCAAAGCTGTTACAATCAAAGAAAACCCCGATGTGTTTGAGCATGTCTGGCAATAAATAGTCCGTCGGTGTCAGGCATGTTTGGCGTCTGATGGTGCAGACTTCCATCATCTTTTGTAACCTTCAAGCTGTCATACACCATTTGCGTTCATGTCCAATAAATGTTTCAAATTAATCACTTTTGTTTCTTTTCCTATTTTCTACCTCTGCTACCACTTACCCCTGACATTTCCGGGCATAGGTTCCTACGCAATTCTTAATCCTTATGATATACCCTACCTCCCCTAGTCTGTCGCAACATTGATACAGCCTCTATATATACATATTTCGCCTACCTCAAAAATCTTTAGCCGTAGAACGTTGTAAATTTATACATGGGACTGCTATAACATATAGTTGTGCGTCTTTCTTTTTATTGGGATTAACAGAACAAACGTTTATATATATGTATGTAATAAAAAAGACTTTGCAATATTGATGGTGTAGAACGTACGAATTTGAATCCGTAATGAAGACCAAGAATTTTAATTGCGTAGAATGCTATCCCATAATGAATAGGAAACTGACAGCCGAGGCAGATTAAATCATCATTTTATTTTCAGTAAACAAGTTGCGGCCAAGAACAGCTTGGCACATTATTTGTGCCCATTTAAAAATGTTTACATTTTTTATATATTTGCAATAAGAAGAGAGCAGCAGACAGCAGTCCAGATAGGCCGAAGAGTAGCAAGCGAGTGCTTTAAGTTCAGGATGAAATCTTAATTCAGACTGAGTTAGTTTTGGTTCTCAGTGCATTTGAATTGGATAATTAATATACTGTATAAAATTATTATTGTCTGTTTGACTTTTAGTTCCATTTACAACTTCAGAATTATGTAAGAGTCATATGACATGAATTAATCTCGAAATAATGCAATGTAAAAGAGAAATTACTGTTTTTAGAATAGAGAAGGGAAATTAATTTACGCTGCTAATTTAAATCATAATTTATCTTTTACTTCTTATTTTTCTTACACACACACACATATATATATATCCATCCCCTTATAAAGTTTTATAAGCATTTTGAATAATCAAAATTTTAAGAGGTCTGACTCTTGTACTACGAAAATTGATCGGGATATTTAATTTCAAAATTTGTAATTTTTTATGTCATTTTCAATTTGCCTTGAGGGATCGGTTGATTAAATTAGTATACTTCAAAAAAATATGTTTAAATGAAGTGCAACAAAAATGTTTATAATTTAATAAGGAAGTAATGTGTTCAAACATATATATATTTAACTTCCTAAATCTGTCTTTTGCAGTGTATGCAACATTCTTGGTACATATCAGCCGATATGCAGCTTCATATTATAGCTCTTCTTGTACTCATTCCTCTTTATCAGTAAGTTATACATTCCTTGTAATTTTTAAAACAGCTTTCAATGTTCACTTTTTCCTCCTTCAATATTCAAGTGAATTTGAAAAATTTACTCGTTATAATATCTTTGTCACTTTGTATTTATTATTTTATTATTTTACAGTAACGCTTACTTTGGTATGGCATCGGCTGTTTGTCTGACACTGATTGGCTCCTTAGCTGTGGGAATCATCACATACGCCAATGACTACGATCCAACAATTTTATTTTCAACGCTCAACGCAGAGTGAGTTATCACGTTCGTTGTAAATTATAATTTAAAAATTGCGGATTATTTATGATTATAGTGGAATATTAATACTAATTATCACAGTCATATAAAGGAATACTTTAAAATTAATAACGAATATTTTGCTTTAAAATTAAACAAAATTCAGCTTTAGATTGGTATATAATTTAAAGGAACATAGAGAACTTTATCGCATTTCAGAAGCACGGGCACTTGGATCTTATTTCCACAATGGAAAATAGCATCAATAATGAATTTCATAACCATCCATATTATTTACAGCATCTGAGATGCTGACACTTTTGTTTTCAGCTGCGTACTAAGTTGGGAGGAAGTGTTAGATGAGAAAGAACTTTTTTTAGAAACTCTGGCATGAAGATAGATCTGTCTCGGGAGCGAATTTCTTAAGTGCATATTGGCATCGCAAATATGAAAGTGGCGTTTTTTAAATAGACCAATAGGACCAACAGCAAAATTCGTTCGCAAGAGAAGGTGAAAGACGAATTTGTTTTCTAAAGTTCTGGCTTGAATCTAACATGCATTCGTAATTTTTACATTGAAATAATCATATTCTGAAATCTTCTTGTATATCACTGGACTTTTAAATATTCCGCAAATAAACAAAAAAAAAAAAAAAAAAAAAAAAAAAAAAAAAATCATTTGAAAATCGTTAAACAAACAATATCATTTGAAGTTAGAAGTGATCCTTTCAAGTTATACTTCCTTTAGTTCGGGCAAAGAAGTAAAAAAAGGCTTTAAATGTAAAACATATTGCAGTAAATATTTGACACATTTAATAAGGAAAAAGTGCATTAGAAAAAATTATCAAACTGATCTCACCCTACAAGCAAGAGAATTTGATGAATTTTTGGAAATCATTCAAGAAAAGTACCCCAATATCATTAACCATAAAGAATTGTCTTAGATTAACAAGCTTATATTAGTGTTTTTAGTCCAAAGAGCGTTAGCCCAGAAGTGACATTGATTTCATTTTGGCATTTTGCGTTGAAAACTTTAAATGTCCATTTCACTTTTCACTTTTCAAATTGTTGCCACCAAATATTATCGCCCTGTGTTATATTATAAGAAGTTCAATAATAAAATATCTTCATAAATTTATATATGTTTCTCGCATTGTGATAAAACTATGGTACCTAGAGCCATCAAATTTTGAATAACGTAATCCTCCACCGAATGTGGGCATCTGGAAGCCCTAATTTTTTTTAATCGATTTCATATTTTCAAACATTTTAACGAATTTTTAATTAAGAAACACAGCAATTTCAAAGCGACCAAAGACAACGCTGTATGAATAAAAAAACATTTTTATCTCAACCGCGAGACTGTGTATCGGAAATGATTAATGATGCGAATGTGAAGCACTGCAGACATCCTCATCGTAGTTTCGAGTCTTGGTCTGACGTACGATTTTTCTTCCCAAATACATGCGCCGTTTTAGACATTTCTTTTTCTTTCGCCTCACTGCAACAAGATTGCTCCTTCATGGAATATTTCACAGGCCCACATTTTTAACGCTGTCGGGGCAAGGTTGTCGGAGCACGTTGCTAAAGACCTTTTCATTTCCAGTGACGTCGCCCAAACGGTTAGAGAAGCCTACGGCGATAACGTAGGTCCCGGGTTTGAATCCCGGAGTTTGTAAATTTATAGTGTCTGTGCGGCATGGGGGCACTCTAAATATGTGGCGAGTCGAAAGTCCTCTCGTGTGGCTTTGTGAAAGTGGAGAGAAGTGGACCACCCCACGGGGTGCTAGCCTTTAAAAATTGGAGTGGAAAATAAGAAGCCCAACCTCTCTTTGGAGCAGGCTGTGGCAACCATATTTCTATGTAATATATGGACTCGACAACAACAACAATCTCCAAACCCTCTAATATAATGATGATCTCGGACCAAAACAAACGCTCTTCTCTCATTTACAATAAGTTTCTGCAATTTTAAGAATGCGACATGGCTAAGTGCTAAAAAATTCTTGAAGCAAAATTGCATTTCATTTTCCTGCAAAAGAAAATTTTTAAAGATGCAAAAATAAGTAAAAAGAATTGAAATGCCATAGCTTTTAGATATGCCTCTGAACATATTTCTGTATAAATTGTATGTTTCTTTATAGAAATATATTGTTTACCGAATTTTCTTTCCATATTATTAAATGTAGATATGATGCTCATAATTGAAATTTAATGGAGAAACAACAAATGAGGAGAAGGGAAAAAAAAAAAAAAAAAAAAAAAAGAGAATGAAGCGCGTAATAGAAATTTGATGGAGACACAATAAATAAGGGCAGAAGAAAACTTGCAAAGGAGGAAGAATATATTTGAATATGGCTTACTTTAAAATGTTACCATTTATATCACAAACAGCATATTTTATTTGTATAATATTATTTTTAGTATCTGCGCTTTTGTAAAAAATATAAATTTTTTCTAAATAAAATTTAATTGAACTACATTAAGTATGAAATTGAATACTAGCTGAATGATTTTATTCTTATGATCTATCGCAAATTTATAGGACTTATTAATTATAGGCATGTTGATTTTATTCTTATGATCTATCGCAAATTTATAGGACTTAATAAATTTGTAACTGGAATTACCTTAAAATTATGCCTATTTAATGAAATCATTATTTAAGCAATTTTAGATTTGCCTAGGGTTAGTACTCCTGGGAAGCTGTGTCGCGCACTGTCGATAATCTTGGGAACTTCCCTTCTAAAAATTGGTCTTCGAATTAATTAATAATTTTTTTAAATTATTACATTGCGTGTATAGGTATAAATCTTTAGCTCGTGTTAGAGAAATGTTACATGTTTTAAAAAATTATAATCATTGTATTGAAAAAATGCGCAGCAATTTTCACAAAGAAATATATAGGATTTCTAAAAAGCAATTAGAAACATGAATATTACGCTAATTTTTTTTAACATTTCATAATTTATAAAATATGAACCGCTGAACTTCAGTAAGAATTCAAAACAGCGGAGGCGTCTCATAGTAGGCGGGACTTGGAAATAAGGTGTCGGCCTTTTTTTTTTCGAATAATAAGGTGTTATGGCCCATTTTTTTGCGAAATACAGAGTATGCAGATATAGATATTGAAAAAATTCAAGAAAAGAATTTACATCATTCCATGCTAAATTTCAGGAACATCTAAAGAATGGGCGTGATCAGTAAAAAGCGTCACAGAAAGAATGCTCTGAATGCAAAACTTGTAATCCCATCGCATTGAGATGAAAATGAGCATCTCCATCATGCTTATGTTTTTTTAATTTAATAATATAATGTATTTAACTGTTTTTATTCTTTGAAATAACATTTAAAAAATCTGCTATGAAAAACAGCTCTAAATTTCGCTATAGCCTGCAAATTTTTTAAATATTTGTTAATATATGCACCGCTGGCCAGGGAAATCAGTTGAGCACTTTTGAGCATGCCTATCTCTGTACTTTACAACTGGCAAAATGCACCAGCTTTCCTTTGTGAAGGGTCTTAGTATGAATGCCTCGTCAAGCATGTATAGTGATTTTTTGCGCTATTTTCTAAAGCTCACATAGTTGTTTTTTAAGCTCCGCCTTCTGAGGTTCCAAGCTTTTCGCCCCTTTTTGGCTTTAACTTTGAACTTCTTGAATGTAATCATTAGTTTCATTTGCTTGAGCAGAAATATTTTTTTAAATATTTGGTAATCAATGTACCGCTGACCCGGGAAATCAGATGAACTCTTTTGAGCATGCTTATCTCTGTACAATACAATTGGTAAAATACATTAGCTCCCCTTTGTGAGGGGTCTTAGCAAAAGAACGTTCGCTCGTGAAGTATGATACCCAGATGCCGAAAGTATTTTTTCTCTTCATCTAACATGCACAAATCCCATTTTATCTTTTCCAAGAAAAGGCTTTATAGGCGTTTAAGGAGTGAGATTTATAGTAGCGGTTCTAGACGATGAGTGAAAACTGATAAAACCGAGTGTGAGTGACCTTTAACGAAGTTAAATAATGCATTCTATGAATAAAAACAAATATACCCTTTGCACTGTTTGTTTATTGACCACCACTATTTTCATTCAGTTATTTCTTACGGATGTTTCCAACACATAAAGTTTCATATGCTCTGGTTTCTCTTCATTATTCGAGCTAATCTTTCGCCTTTTACTAAAGATTACCGTGGAGAGGAACATTACAATGAGCCTAAACTGAATTTTTGGAATCCCACCACATAGGTGGGTATATTTAAAAGATAGAGTACAATCAAGGAGGTTAGAATACATGGAGATGGCGCAATACGAGGAGATGAAGCCGGGGAAAGCAAATAAGCCACGCCTCGTGAGGGCAAGAAAACGCTACCCTTACTATGTGAAGTGAGGTTAAACGTCAGCTTGTTTGAAGTTTTGAGTGTGTTTTCTGATTTCTTATGTGAAGACGTGAGAGGGTTATAACATACTGAATGGTTACATTGAAATAATGTCTACATTTCGGATTTCATTTCCATATAAAAGAATGTTTTTTTAACATGCATAAATAAGTAGAATAATTGAAATGTGCATTTTAAAGCCGTCAGAAAAGAGTTTGAGTATTTTCTCGGTGTGACGTGCGCGAAGAAACATCTATAATTCTCAGATTTTCTTCAATAATGGTTTGAGTATTATACTCGTAATTAACTGAGTTGTAAAAGCAAAACGGTAAGTAAACAAGGGAAGGGGGAGTGGTCAGCTCATCGTGGAAAAAGAAACGCGTTATTTTAAAGGTGTGATCATATTACATTACAAGTCATATTTTATGTATTTAATTTTATTTTCTGTTCAAGTAAATTTAATAACAGGATTTAATTTGGGGTGAAATTTGTGGGAGTTTTAAAAATAACAATGCAGGATTTAAAATTATTTTTTATCATTGTTCATGCAAATTTTCAAAACGGAAGTAGTAGTATTTCTAACATGGAAAATTGAGAATTATACCTGTATTAATTTAGAATAACTAAAATATAATC